TCTTGAATTATAGATGTTTCTCTTTCCTTGGGTGAATTGCCTAAAAAGGAAATTTTTAAGGATCTGAGGGATTTGCGAAAAGAGTTTTTTTTTTTTTTAATTTTTGATTATCAACTTAATTAAAAAATTTCAAATGGTATTTATTAATAAATTACAATAGTTATAATATTTTACATATAATTTTTTACTAAATTCAAATAAAGTGGCTTAAAATATTTGAATTATATAGAATTAATATAATATATTAAAGTATTAAACTCTTTTAATTTTATTTCTTTCTATAATCAGGCTTGTATGCTACCAAGTTCAGATCTGTAACACAATCCGAATTACATTCTTTGTGCAACAAACAAAATACGTAGTTTTGTCCAATAACCGAATCAAAAAATACCAAATCTCTATTGCTAAATTGCTAAAAAAAAATAATAGTAATTTTTTTTTTTTTTGAGCAAAGTACTTTGACATTTGATCTTTCGACACAGTTCAAAGTGCTTACTGAAGTTTTGGTCCATATTCGAGGCCAACGAGAATGTCTTAATTAAAACAAAGATTTGGTTGGTGTTCACGACTCTTTGCTCGTGTTTGCGTCTAATATAGTTTCTGATCTGATTTATGGTGATAACGAATGCATGCACACTTTCTTTAATCCGTTTGTCCTATTATACATATAGTCTTATTTTACATATTTGCATTTAAACTTCCTTTGTTTTATATAATATTTTATTTCAAATAATCTTACAACAGTACTACCCCGTTTTAAGTTTATTTCCGTCTCTCAAGTCCTGTGGTTCTCGGCCTTCCTATTTTCTTTTCTCTACTCTTTCTTTTCGTCATTCGGTTTCGACGTTTTCAACATAATTGTCTGTGCAGAGTGCTTCGCACTTGACAAATAATGTCAAAGAGCTTGTCTCAGAACATGGTAGGAATATTTAATACAACGGGTGAAATCGAAATCAACTATTTACTAATTAATAGTTTTTCCGTATTCGTTAAAACAAAATCCTTAATGGTCATTTTTTTTGAATTTTAACCTCACAGCCCTCTTTCGCCACTCCTGAGATATCGTCTAAGACCCAGAACATGGCCGTCGAAGACTCGACTTTGACAAACTCGAACGTAGCAGCTGATGTGAAAAAAATTGTATTGTTGAAGCGAAATCCGAACACTACCATTAGTAACAGTAATTCGCAAACCAGTATTGGAAACAATACTCTTGTTTCATCAATCGATTTAACACAAACACCTTGTAGATCAAATTCATCATCACCAAATCTTGATATTGAATTGACTCCTGAACAAAGCGCAAATTTGAGTGAAATAGATTTAAACACCGGTCTAGATGGATTCTTGTTGGCAGCACTCAAAAATCCCAAAGACAGGTTATTTCTCTTGAAATTAGATCGAGAAATGGAAAGGTTTATCAACGATAAAAGGTGTGCTCTTGCATTACCCATTCGTCTACTCCCCGTTTGATCATTTGATCATAATTCCCAACTACTCACTTTTTTTTGCGCTTCCCTCTAATTAGCCAGACACGACTGGAATTTCCTCCAATGAATTCTTATCAGCGTTTGATAGTTCATCGTGTGGCACAATATTTTAAGCTTTCGCATGTCGTTGATAATAGTGGAAAAGCTGTTGTTTTATACAAATCCCCCGATACAGATATGTGAGATATTACTAATAATTTTTTCTTCTTCTTTCCTATCATATATTTAAATATTTTTCTTAGAGATTATGTTACTCCTTAAATAGATAGACGCATACACTTATTTATTCATAAATATTCGTTTATTTAGACCGATACTTCGTTTCTCGGATCTGCTTGAGCAAGAAGAGGAGAAACCTGAAAAATCCGTTAAGATAATGAGAAGGCAACAAATAAACACTCAAAAACTTCGTTCAGCAGGTGATTCTGACAGTAATTCCGAAGGAGAGCGTAAGATTCTAACAATAGAAGAACGTGAGGCTGCATATATAAAGGCTAGAGCTAGAATTTTCAATGGAGAGAGTGAGCAAGATGAGAATGAGGGCGCCATAAACTCTAGCGTCATAAACCCTAATATTTTGAACATCAATAACAACGAACAGCAGAATAACGAGTCTGCATCTTCTAGCAAGACAAAAAACACCTTACAAAATAAAGTTGCGAATGTTAATAACAACAATAAGAATGGTAAACCATCACAACAATTAAACAAACCGGTTGGTAATAACAAAAATTCAAACAAAAATAGTGCTAATAATACAAAGACCCGGCAACAACAGTCGGCAAGGTCGCAAACCTTTAACTACAATCCTCCAATGGATCGCTCAATGTTTTTATCTAAACAAGGTAGACCTATCGGTAATTTTTCCGGTCCACCGCCAATGATGCATCCGTATGGTCCCCCGTTCTTTAATGGACATATCAACATGTACGATGTAAACATGGTGCCCATACAGCCACCGATTTTACCACCGGATATGCAAGTATGTCATCCAATGGGTAATCCATATATGAACATGCCTCATGAATGGAATCCGACGCTCCCTGGGCCTTATAACCGTCCGGGTGTCAGAAGTGTATGGGGGACGGAATCATTCAACGCTCCTCCAGAAATGGGGGGAAACCCATCTCTTTTCAACCACCAACAAAACAATGCTACTTCATTTTTACCGCCTCGCCCTTCAGCACAAAATGAAGTTCGTCCCCAAGTTCATAATAATTTAAAACACTTGAATCAATATCCTCCGCCTCATTATCCACAGTCTCATGGATCTTCGTATTCAGAAAATAACCCTGTAGCTAATGCTCCCGTTTCACCCATGGATAATAAATCAAACAAATCACCTTCGAATTCGCCAGGTTCCCCTATGTCGCAATCCGGATTTGATAGTAGTAATTCTATCTGGGCGAATAAGGGTCAATGGAACAACGTCTCTAGCGGAGAAGATGGTAAATCAAACAGTGAACGTCAACTAGATCAAAAACGTTCAAATAGCAGATCTTCCACGCATGTTTCATCGTCTCAACAGCGTGAAGTTCCGGTAATGTATCATATCTTTTTTCAAATAATTCATTTGATTCCAGTTGAATATTACTACTCACTTTCATCATAACCTTGTAATATAGCTTTTTAACCCTGTTTGGAATAATTCTTCTGATTCTCACGCGATGAATGTTTTCAACTCTTCATCACAATCTTCGACGGATTATTCAACTCAGAACGCACCGGGAGTGACGCTCGTACATCCTCAAATGTACCATGGGATTGTACCGCCAATGTCGGGTCCCCGTCGTAATAATAGCGGGAACCACATGATCCCGCCACCCATGCACCAAGAATATGTGAATAATGTTCAGCGTTTCCCACCAATGACCGGGTTCCCAACTCAATCTGCACCACCAAATGTGACCGGTGCCATAAGACCTCCGAAGTCTTCTGAGTTGTTCGACCCAAATAATCCCCCAGTATCTCCGTCTCAAAATACGAATTCATCTACCACTGCATCCTCACAAATATCCGCATCACAACCATCATCTACCTCAACTTTGTCGCCTTTGTCATCGCGACCAATGTCACATACATCATCAAAATCAACTTCTGTACCGATTAATAAAACGTCGACTTCGCCCTGGACAGGAACCTCAACTGGAAGTAAAGTAGCGTCATTACCCCAAAATTCAAATAATGCCAATTCCCGTAGAAAGAATGCGACCGAATCTACCAATAATTCAAATAGTAATGCAGTACTGGATGGTACAATGATGCGATCACTGAGTATTTCTTCAAATAGTTCCCAACAAGGTAGAACTCATCACCGTCCACCTTCCACCTCTCCGTCGGGGAACGGCAAAAAGAAAGAAAGCGGACTTTTATTTGATTATTCTATGCAAGTGCCGTATGAAGGGGTTAAGCCAAGTGAAGGTAGGATTGTACTCGTGGGATACTTATTGTCCGTATTTTTTTTCTTTTTCTTTTTTTTTTTATATTTCCTAATCACTCCATTCTTATTGCAGCCAGTGAACCTCCGCAACCGAATCACATTATAGAACTATACGATTTTTCCGAGTCCGATGATCTCATGGATATTACATTTTCGAATGCGACAATTAAACAAATTAGTCCTCAATCTAATTCCCCTGGTAAACGGCCAACAATCCTTGCTATCTTTAAGAACGCGCGTGAAGCCAACCAAGCGAGGCAAAATTATAAGGGGGTAAGGTTTAAAACCAAAATGTGGGAGCCTTTGGTAAAAAATGGGGGGAATATAAACCCTCTGATACCAGCTGGTGAACAATCGTCTAATTCATCATTATCAAATAAAACGAACATTGAAGACAGTTATGAAAAGCATCATCAAGATTTGATGAATGCTACGCATGGTTTACCATTGAATGGGAAACAATGACTTATTACATCCAATTTAATGTCCAAGAGAAAAAAAATAATAATTCAAAGTCTTCTTTCCTTAAACTACGCAGTAATTATTTTGATCTATACTTCATTTTGTATTTAGAACTTAGAATACGTGGGGCTTCTAAATTTGAGAGAAATTCCAGATTTTGGCAGTTTATATAGTAAATAATTCTATTCTGTTGTACTGTCTTCTATCTTGTATAATGTGATGTGTTTTCCATGTTTTATTTATATCATAACGTTCTTACAAGAAAATGATCGAAATTCAATTTAAATCGTTCGCTATTTATTTATTATTTTTTTTTTATTATTTTTTTTTGAATTTTTGATAACAAAACAGTATAATACAGTAGTTTCTTGAGTCGAAGTTTCAACGGGCTCAAAAGGAAAAAAATAGATTTGACGTCTAATATTATTAAAATTTTCATGGCAAAATGAAATTCTTAAGAATTTAAGTATTGCAATCTTTCTTAAAAATTTAAGTATTGCAATCTTTGGTTTTATTCAATGTATATTGTTTTTCAACTAGGTGCATTATTACAAGATCAGTTGTTTCATTAAAAATGGCAAGGGATGTCTTATCAAAATACTGATTGATTGATTCTTATATGCAAGAAGTATAGAATTTTACAAAGAAAGTATTGCATAATCTATTCAGCTTATAAATAATATATATGAAAGATTAGGAAAAAAGAAAATAATTTTTTGAATTTTGTTTCTAAACATTGTTAAAACTTATAACACGATTAGATTTAATATGTTAAAAAGAACAATAGAAAGAATTCAATTATCTTTTATTATAAAATAACTTTTTATCAATTTGTTTAAGAATAAAAAGTATCAAACAATTTGTTTCAAAGAATTTTCTATAATCTATTAATACAAATTATAAATATTTCATAAAAAAAAAAATAAATGTCTAAATAATTAAAACAATATAAAATATAAAAAAATTTTTTTGAAAAGCTTACTTATTAAATAATTAATAGATTAATAATAATTTTTTATTTTAAATTAAAAAAATCAAAAATCAAAAATAATTTATATAAATATAAACAAAATAGTTATCTTTAATTTTGATTTTAAAAAAAAAAATATATTATTACAAAAAAAAACAAATAACTTGTTAAAAATAAAAAATAAATTAGTAATTAAAGTAATTTTTTTTTTTTTTTTTTTTTTTTTTAATCCTCTGTCAGGCTAGTTATGTGTGCTTTATTAAACATTTGTAAACTGTACATATAATATGAATCGCTAAAGTTAAAAAACGCTAACTAGCTCACTCGTCTTTGTAATTACTACTCTAAGTGCAACTTTGGAAGTGATTTATCACTCCATTAGGAGTTCAGATGAAAACCCTTCCAACTCTTAATATCATTGCCTGCAGGTCTACTGCAATAGTCTAAATTTCATGTTATTGGATACAATATTTATATAATTTTAAAAAAAATTTTTTTTATTCATGATAGAATTATTGATCTTATTTTTTTTTTAAACCCTTTGTCAGGTTTGGTATGTGTACTTTATTAAACATACTGTATATATACTTTACATCTATTTCATTTTATATTTCATTCTTCTTGTTACAATTTCTTAGAAACTTTTGTCTTCAAGGTTTTCTTCTTTAGATAGTGATTCTCTTCTCTTTTGAAATATGGTTTTCAGGCCTAAAAGACATGGAGATCTTTTTGTCTTGTTCTTTCTATCAATTCCTTGTGTTTGTTTCTATTCAATTACTTTTTCACATCTTTTGTTCTAAACTTTTTTTTTGAAATTGGTTATAGACTCTTTTTTGTATTTTTATTATTCACTTTCTTACTATTATTTCTATACATTTATCTTGACATTTTAGATTTGCCATTTTTAGAAAGGAATTATTTCTTATAAAATCAATGCAAAAACTTAAAATATTTTGACTAGTTTTAGAAATCTGTTCTACTACTCTAGAAATCCACTAATTAAACGCACCTAATTTTTTTTAATTGTTGATAATCAATTTGAAATTTTTTTTTTAACCCTTTTCTTTTTTTTCTATAGTAATTTTTTGAAGTTTCTAATGATTTTATTTGTTTTTTTATTCTATATCTCTTATAGCTAGTCTTTATAATTTGAACATTCTAGTAAGTATTCTATAGGTTTATTTTGATAGTTATATACAATATATTTTACTTGCTTATATAGATCAGGTCTTCTTACAATTTGCAGCAATGACTTGCAAATGATGATGTTAGAAGTTGGAAGGGTTTCCATCTGAACTACTAATGAAGTAATAAATCACTTCTGAAGTTGCACTTAGAGTTCTAGATAAATATAAGACTTTGAAGAGTGAATTAGTTAGAAATTTAGCTTTAGCAACACATATATAATATATAGCTTACAATTGTTTAATAAAGTATATATAACTAACCTGACAAAGGATTAATTAAAAAAAAAAACAAATAGATCAAGTCTTCTTACAACTAACTTACCTAGGATAAAAAGCTCATTATTGACCAATTTAATATAAAAACTTCTTTATTAAGATTGTTTAAAAGATGTATTTTACATATATTCATCTTTAATGACTTACGGATCTATAGTGCAGTGATTAGCATTCCGTAGGTCAGATTACATAATGCAGGTTCAAATCCTCCAGGGGGCTAATGTGATTCACCTAATTAAAAAGCAGATAGAATCTGACAAATCATTCATTGGCCTAAACATATATAACCAATGTTTCTAAGTATAGCTGATGCAGATCATGAGGATTGACAGTTTTCATTGATTCTCACTGAAAATCAAGATCTCCATAATATAAGATGGTCTATATAAAGATTGTGATCAGGTCACTATCTGAAATCGAGTAGGATTATCCCTAATAGGACCTCATTATCACCTGCTAATAACAAGAAGAGTAAATCCCTAAACCGGTTGCATACCACTAAGGAAGGACTGATTGAAGATCTCATTCGATTTCAAGACTTCAAGCATGTGTCTATGCCTTGACTCATAGATTTAACAATCGGGAGGCCTTGGTGGGAGAAAAAATCTGCACCCCATAACAAAGGTCCCATCTGAACAATATGTGATAATGTTAAAAAACTAAAAGAAACAGGAATGGTGGAGG